TTGCACCAATCCTTATGATATTTAAACTTGATCACCACAATGGCCTGCTAATGGTATCACTCTTTTTATCTTGCCCTCCTCTAATCTTTTCTCCAATACAACCAAAAAACAAGTTTTGGAATTGAAATACTAAATGGCATTTTATATTTTAAAATTCGCATCTCTCATAATTTTCAGGATAAAATAAGAAATCCTTAGAGTAGCAACATGCTATGTATTTGGCAAGCTTCATCCACATCTACATTCGCCTGTGTTCCACTCATTTACCTAATGTTCCAGGTACATCAAACTACAGGTAATTCTCTGAACGTGCATCCATGCTTTTTCTCAGACTCTTGTCTATACCTGGAGTACTCTATCTCTTCCTCTCTGCATCTGGAACTTCAAAGCTTTCCTTAAGATCCAGCACCTGTGGGTGCCTGGGTGGCTCAGTTGGTTAAGCGACGGCCTTCAGCTCAGGTCATGATCCCGGAGTCCCAGGATCAAGTCCCACATCGGGCTCCCTGCTCAGTGGGGAGTTTGCTTCTCCTTCTGACCCTCCCCCCTCTCATGCTCTCTCTCTCCCTCATTCTCTCTCTCAAATAAATAAATAAATAAAATCTTTAAAAAAAAAAGATCCAGCACCTGTTACACATCTGTACCCAAGAATTACTCTGTTGCCACTACATTCCGATGCTTTCACTCTCCAGTGTCTGTTAAATTAACTACTCCCCTTTCTGAATTCCTGTGGCATTTTTTTATGTACCTATAGGTGTTGTAAATAATTTATGTACCTCTTCCTCCCCTATCAGAGATTTAAATGCAGGGATGTGTTTTGTTCATCTCAGAATCTTCACTATGCGCTATACAAAAGACACAATGACATGACTTGTTTATTAAATGAAATGAAAAATCCCAAGTTGATTGTAGCTGCTTTTCTGTTCAGAAATAAGGGGGTCTGGGACCTAAGGTCTTATGCACTCATGAGGACATGGACTGCTTACTGCCATTTTGTAGGACTCTACAAATTTCTTAGGACTCTCACTTTGTAGACTGGTCTCTGATGTTGGTTCTATCATGGATTCCTTATAAAACAACTACAGAAGCCACTTCCATGTCTCACTTCTGATATTAAGGTAGTCCTCAGGCCATGGGCAATGACCACTGAGGCCCAAGCAATTCTGTGGGCAAAGCACTGGGAAGGGAACTGCCAAGACACAGGGAAACAGCCCCCAGACAAACCACAGGCTAAGCTGAGGAGCTCTGCAGTACGTAGGCTGAGGTCAGAACAGAATAATGAAGAAATCATTCAAGCAGGACAGGAGAATCCTGCTGCTCTAGTGGCAGAGAGGCTAGATATAGAACCACAAAAGCCAGTGGGAAGGATCTAGCACGACATGCTAAGACGTTTACACATCTCCAAGAGACAATGGGAGGCCAGGGGAAGTTTTTTAAGAAGAGACATAAAATAATTTATGATAGAATCTGGACTTCAGACTCAGTGTCTAGCTGTACATTTAGGGTCTACAGAGAGAAGAAACCTGGAGGTTTGAAAGATAGCACTGTAGGAAAGGCATGAAAGTCTACAAGTCCAGGGCATAGGATGAGGGTGAGGAAATGGAGGTGGGGGTGGGCATAACAGGAGGTATGCCTTGAAACAGAAGTTGGGGTCAGATGCCAAAGGGCTTGTAAGACATGGTAGGTGCCAAAGGAACCAAAGAAGGATTTTAAGCAGGGGAATGAAAGAGGGCAGAGGGAAACTGAATGTGCGGCCAGGCTTCTTGCTGAGCTTCAGGGGTCAATCACAGATAAGAAGAGATCCCTGCCATGGCAAGGTGGTTCATGGAGAAACAGGGAGACAGTCCCACTCCCTTAAGAGAGTTTACTTTGGGTCTATAGTTTATTTCTGGGATCTTGACATCAGTTACTGGATTAGATCCAAATGGGGCTCTATCAAGAATATGTTTAATAAAGTCAAGATGGTTTTTCACCATTATTTCACCCATTCAATTATTAAAAAATAATTGGGGTGGGGCGCCTGGGTGGCTCAGTTGTTAAGCATCTACCTTCAGCTCAGGTCATGATCTCAGGGTCCTGGGATCGAGCCCCGCATTGGGCTCCCTGCTCTGTGGGAAGCCTGCTTCTCCCTCTCCCACTCCCCCTGCTTGTGTTTCCTCTCTTGCTGTGTCTCTCTCTGTCAAATAAATAAATAAAATATTTAAAAATAAAAACAAAAAAACCTTAGGATCATCCCTGATTCTCTCTTTAAAAAAAAAAATTGGGGTGCCTGGGATGCTCAGTCGGTTAAGTGTCTGACTCTTGATTTCAGCTCAGGTCATGATCTCAGGGTCATGATATTGAGCCCCTTATTGGCTCCATGCTGAGCGTGAAACCTGCTTAAGATTCTCTCTCTCTCCCCCTCTCCCCTTCTCCCTCTGCAGCTCCCCCCCCCCCCCCCCCCTGACCCCGTGTGTGCCCGTCCTCTTCTCTCCCTCAAAAAAAAAAAACAAACCCATGTTACTTCTGAACAGGGTTGTTAATTGCAGGTTGTCTGCTTTAGCTGGTTTAAGCAGAAGGCGTCTATAGTCTGTAATACCTTACAAAGTATCTTGGAATGTCTGGAACCAGGCTTGGTTGTTACAGAGAGACCATGGCAGTTTACAAGAAAGAGGATTTGAGACAGATGATATGCGACTGATGATACTTTCTTCTTTCAGAAGTCAGTCCAGATTCTAGTTCAATAGCTGGAGAAAATAATGGGCAGAACTTATGATGGCACATTCACCCCTGATTCAGATATAAACACAATATAACTGCATGTTTACTTGAAGGAACTACTTTTCAAAGGGAAAAATAAAAGACAAATAGAGATTACACATCACATAGAACAGATATAACATGAAGCAATCTTTTAAGTAGATCACATGGAAATCCTATTCCATGCCCACAAAAGCAGAGCTTCCCTGGGCTCATGTTATTATTATTATTTAAATTAGTTTTATTGAGAAATAAGTTATATGCAAGAAAATTCACCAATTTTAAGTGTGCAATTTGATAAGCTTTGACAAATCACTAGAATTGTAACCAACATGATATAAAACAGTCCATCCCTCCATAAATTCTGCCATACCCCTTTGAAGTCAATCCCTTCCCCTGCAATGTAGGCCCTGGGCTATACTGATCTTCTGTCTCATTAATTTTGATTTTCTAGAAAAAGGAATGATACAATATGTAGTCTTTTGTGGCTGGCATCTTTTATTTAGTACAATGTTTCTTAACTTTTAAAATTATCGCCCTTTTATAAAGAGCCTTTTTAGCCATTTGTTCCTTAATTGTTTCTCCCCTCCTTATGAAATTTTAATACCATAGATATACTCTATGCCTGTTTATGTACTTATGTATGTTTATGCTTTATACATAGAAAGTAAGGTTTTTTTCACACCTCAAGAATACACTTTTGAGAATATGATTTACATGTATGCAAGTATAATGCTTTTGTGATTCATCAGTGATTCATTTTTGTTGCCGGGTAATTTTGATTATATGAAGAGACATTCATGAGGTGAGTAAAACTAATTGCAAATGTGTTACAAAGGCACTAAGAGTATAATTCAACTACTGTTCTTCCTCAAATTTGATCCTCAGTTTCCCTGTTGTCAGTAAACAGATCTCTAATCACACAATTGTTCCAGATAGAAATCTAGGAGTGATTGAGATACTTTCTTTCCCTTTGTTTCCCCATATACAATCCATTAAATTCTATCAATTTCACCTCTAGATTCTTTCTTTTTTTTTTAAAGATTTTACTTATTAGATAGAGAGGGAGCATGAGAGGGGTGGTTGAGGGGGGCAGAGGAATAAGCAGACTCCCCACACTGAGCATGGAGCCCGATTTGGGGCTCGATCCCAAGGCGCTGAGATCATGACCCCAGCTGAATGAAATGAGATGCTCAGCCGAATGAGCCTCCCAGGTGCCCCACCTCTAGATTATTTCCTGAATCTGGTCTCAAGGGATCAGATTTTGCTACCAGAACATTCTAGACATGGAAGGATTTTTTAATCTTAAAAGAAATGGGAAGCCACTGAAGAGATTTAAATAAGACAATGAAAGGACTTGATCAGTGTAATTAAAAGATTACTAAATCTTTCACTTATAAACAATAAATTAGGACGTGGATAATGAGTTAGAAGGGACCAAGACTATTTAGGGAAAGGATCTTTCCAGAGGAAAAATGATAGTGGTTCTTTTATGCATTTGAGGGTGTGGGAATGGGAGAACTGGGTGATATGCTGCATTTTCAGTGGGGCCCATGAAAACTTAGCCAAGGTCTCACTGCTAGATGATAACAAAACTATGACAAGAAATTCACATATATACTCCTTTTGATTGTTGTTGCTTTGACTTAGCTAATTTTCTTTGGCCAAACTAATCAGTATCCTAAATGAATTATGTATCTTCTTAAATCTTTTGCTGATGAGTTCAAAGGAATTAGAGAATTAGAATCATACTTAAAGAAAACATTTTGTGTACTTAACACATGCACTCAACTTCCCTTCCATGTTGTAATTTTTTCCCCCACTGGCTGCTGCAGTACTAGTATCCATGAATCAGCTTCAGATGGTCTGCAATCTAGTTTTATGCAAACTTTTTTTTTAAAGAATTTATTTATTTATTTGAGGGAGAGAGCACCCTGGGACCATGACCTGAGCTGAAGGCAGTCCCACTCAGCCACCCAGGCGTCCCCATGCAAACTGTTTTGACTCTGTACACACAGGCACACACAGACGTCTTTGGGGGCCTCTTGATGAGGTCTTTAACCTATTAATGCTTCAGAATCAATGACTTACTATGTTTTCAGTCTCGAGTATACAGATATGCATATGACATAGTCTTTATTCTTAAGGTAAAGTTTACATCATATAAACAGATAAATGACAAAATCACATTGCTAGTGCTAAGGAGGAGAGAAGAACAAAGTTCTGCAAGTTTGTCAGTTATATTGGTGTTTCCTCTCTTCCAGGTGACTTCTGAAGTATGGCTCACCACAACATTTCTTCCTGCAGCCCTATATTGACACCCCATTTAACCAGGCTCTACTTCCTAGTACTCATTGGAGGGCTGGCAGGCATCATCTCCATTCTGTTCTTGCTGGTGAACATGAACACCCGATCTGTAACTACCACAGCAGTTGTTAACCTGGTGGTGGTCCACAGTGTTTTTCTGCTGACAGTGCCTTTTCGCTTGACATATCTCATCAAGCACACCTGGACATTTGGGTTGAGCTTCTGCAAATTTGTGAGTGCCATGCTACACATCCACATGTACCTCACATTCCTGTTCTACATGGTGATCCTGGTCATTCGGTACCTCATCTTCTTCAAGCGCAAGGACAAAGTAGAATTTTATAGGAAGTTCCATGCTGTGGCTGCCAGTACTGGCATGTGGCTGCTGGTGATTGTGATTGTGGTACCCGTGGTTGCTTCTCAGTATGGAACTCACCAGGTGTACGACGAGCAACACTGTTTTAAATTCCACAAAGAGCTTGATCGTCTATACGTGCGAGTCATCAACTATATGATAGTTACTACTGTCATAGCCACTGCAATGGTCCTCTTAGTCTTCCAGATCTTCATCATTATGTCAATGGTGCGGAAGCTACGCCCCTCCTTACTATCCCACCAGGAGTTCTGGGCCCAGCTGAAAAACCTATTTTTTATCGGAGTTATCCTTATTTGCTTCCTTCCCTACCACTTCTTTAGGATCTATTACTTGTACACGGTGGCACACTCACATGACTGTAACGACACTGTTGCATTTTATAATGAAATCTTCTTGAGTGTAACTGCAATTAGCTGCTTTGATTTGTTGCTCTTTGTTCTTGGAGGAAGCCGTTGTAAGCAAAAGATAATTGACCTATGGAATTGCCTCTTGTGCCGTTAGCCACAAACTACAGTATTCAAAATTCCTTTATACTGGGAGTAAAAATGGGTATAGAGAGGTAGGAAGGGTTATTTCATTACTTGATTAAAAGCATGCCTTAATGCGCCCAAATAAAAGGACTATAAAATGTCAGAGCATTCATTCCGGTCCTTATTTAATCCCTACCACCTCTAAATGATGCCTTTAGAAAGACTAGTGATGTTCAGTCCACCTGGAGTTATAATACTGCATTATTTTCCAATACAAAAGGTCTACTTGGCCCATCTGGGCACCATGGGCCTACTGGTTTCTGAGCTTCACCAGCTTATTTTAGTTTCATCAGTTTGAAACATGATCTTCTGTAGGCTTTGGATTGGATTCAACCCTCTAGTTCTTTTCATTTCACTTAACCTTAGGTAAATTAACCCTGGCAATGAATCAGCCCCAAAGACACAAACTCTATTGGCTAACCAGATAAGATATCCATTCAACTCCCACCCTGACAAATAGCAGATAAAGGGGGAGAACAGTAAGAAACTTTTCTAGATTATCATAACTTTCATGGGAAGTCACTTATCTAGAAATCAAGAGAAACAGAAGTCCTTGTGACCTTCTGCTATAACAAGGTTATCTAGATTTGTCCTTTGAAAGGTCAAGTTTAAGGACATGGGATCAACATCCTCAATAACTCCAAAAATCATTTAAAAGCTTACTAAACATATAAGGGTGAAACTCTAAGTTAAAGAATATTCCTGACCAATATGCTGCTAAGCATTAAAATGAGTTCCTGAGGGAAGTGATTACATTTTTCCCTTTCTGTTTTTTGAGAAAAATCTCTAGATGTCTTGGCCACAGTTAATTTAGATTTACCTTGGAAACAGAAAGTTACACTCTTTAGAGTTTCCTTCTCTCCTTAAGGTTATGAGTCTTTAAATAAACAAAAACAATATTCTTAAAAAAAGAACTTTTGAGAAATATATAGAAAAATTAATTTAGACTATGAGATTAGGCTGCTAAGTTGATACATAGGCTTGTGGGCTTTTTCCCTTCTTGCCCATATTTCTACTATTTCCCTCAAAGTTTCATAATTTTGAAACTTTCCAAGGAACTGATCCAGGTTCATATCTAATGCTTCAGAACTAAAGCAATTTATGATAGGAATAGAAGAATAGAATGAATTAAGGTAAAAATTTTTTTCCCAGCAAAATAAAGGATCAGAATTTAAAGACTTATTTTAAATTTGTTATACTCTATGGATCTACAAATTTACCAGATGAATAAGAAATATCCCTGTGAGTTCCTATAATCACTAAAATTACTGAGTCATAGAAGTTAATTTTGAGGAAGAAAAAGCAGCAACATGCTTCACAGACTTGTTTCCAAAATTTTCCTACTTTAAAATTTATGTTCTTGGGTGCCTGGGTGGCTCAGTCGTTAAAAGTCTGCCTTCAGCTCAGGTCATGATCCCAGGGTCCTGGGATTGAGTCCCACATCGGGCTCCCTGCTCAGCGGGAAGCCTGCTTCTCCCTCTCCCACTCCCCCTGTTTGTGTTCCTGCTCTCACTGTCTCTCTCTGTCAAATAAATAAATAAAATCTTTAAAAAAAATTTATGTTCTTTTTTAAGTTATATTTCCTTTATTTCTTGTCTTCTTTTCCCATTTTTTCTTAGTTTTTTTTCTTCTCATTTTGACTTATAACATTTGTAAATTTCTAAGACCCATAGAAGTTTTAAGAAAATTTGTTACATCCATAAATAAGAAAATAGTAAAATATAATAGAAATAGTATAGAATGATATAAATAGTAAAATATTAAAATTTCTAAACATTTATGGAAATTATATCAAATTTCTCTTCTTATATATCTGTGTCTTACTATCATACTATCTGTTAGCTTGTAAATTATATTACAATCTCTTCCAGATTTTAAATTTGTTGAGCTCAGGAGATTATGTTTTTCCCTGTATTATTATATTATAATAAAGGGCTTATTTCTTTGGATCTATAAGAAATATCATCCAACATACAGAGATGCAGTATTCCCTAGTATAAAATAACTTATTCATTAATATTTAGAATATAATCGGAAATTTTCAATTTGTCTGTTCATTGTCTCTAATTGCTATGAAAATGAATCTCATGCAGGAGTGGGGGCATCACTGGCCTCTCAGGCCATTTTTGGATATCAAAATTATAAGAGTGTACTACCGGCATTTTGTTGTTGGGGCCAGAGACTAGACATTTTGCCTTGCACACAACTCTCTGCATAGTAAATAATTATCAGGTCTTGCTGTATATTTGAATGTTCTTCCAGACATTTATGAAATGAAACATATGCTCATAATAATTAGTCAGGTTTTGTTTAGTTTTCATAAATACATAGTAATTTTTGGTACGGTTTTAATTTTCTGAATTTTCCAGAAATGTAGCTACCATGGATATGGAGGAAAGATTTTTTTTATTATGTTATGTTAATCACCATACATTACATCATCAGTTTTTGATGTAGTGTTCCATGATGCATTGTTTGCGTATAACACCCAGTGCTCCATGCAGAACATGCTCTCTTTAATACCCATTATCAGGCTAACCCATCCTTCCACCCCTCTCTCCTCCAGGACCCTCAGTTTGTTTTTCAGAGTCCATAGTCTCTCATGGTTCGTCTCCCTGGAGGAAAGATTTTATTCTGTTTTCCTCAGAACTTTACCAAGAGTTGCTCATTCCTTTGGAAAAGCACACTATCAATGTCAATACCATCTGTGGCATTAAAATACAACACAACACACCTGTAAGCAATATTTGTAGCAGTTGTATTCAGGTAGGATACTAGATATAGGTGCCAACATCTAGACTGCCTGATTTGTCTCCTTTTGTGATCATCTCTGAGCATTTACACATTAAAATATATTACTTTATTATAAGTAACTTTCTCCTTCATTATTCATTTATGTTACAGTTAGAACATTATATATATATATATATAATACTGTAGGAGGGTTATATTATCTGTAAATTTTATTTTAGAATGGTAAAAGTATTACCAAATATTTGGGATAAAAAGTAAGGTTTTGGGTCTGCAAGATTTGAGACCAACTGAGCTAGCACAGAATCACTTTATTTTTTTTTAAAAGATTTTATTGAATTATTTGACAAAGACAGACACAGCAAGAGAGGGAATACAAGCAGAGGGAGTGGGAGAGGGAGAAGCAGGCTTCCAGCGGAGCAGGGAGCCAGATTCAGGGCTTGATCCCAGGACCCTGGGGTCATGACCTGAGCTGAAGGCAGATGCTTAACAACTGAGCCACCCAGGCACCCCCAGAATCACTTTAAAGGGGAGATTTACCAATTATGACATTATGAACAGAAAAAATATTCCTATATTTTGGGAATACTTTTTTTTAGAGAGAGAGAGTGCATGCACACATGTGCACGTGTGTGAGCTGGGGGGGGAGGGGGAGAGGGAGGAAGAGAATCTCAAGCAGGCTCCATGCTGAGCATGGAGCCCCACGTGGGGCTCAATCTCATGACCCTGAGATCACAACCTGAGCCGAATGCTTAACTGACCGTGCCACCCAGGTACGCCTATTCTGGGAATACACAACCTCAGCTTGATTCAATTATAAATTATTTCTTTTGCTTCTGTAGTGATTAAAAGAGTAAACACAACTTTTAAGAAAATAAAACATGTGGGGTTTGTTTTTTTGATAAGACAAAGGCATTTCCCTGAGCCTCACAACTCTCAAATTGGCTCATGGTCAGTATCTACCAGATTTTAAACCCAGGGATAATGACATTTTTGGAGGCATAGAAAGAAAGATTGCTTCTGGCACCCATTAAGAAGCTTTCTACTCAGCCTTTGTTCATTTCTTAATTTTCCTCTGAAAGGTTCTTTGAGTTCATTTCTTCCTTAATCTGACATAAATTAGGGAGAAAGAAACTATTTTACCTGTAGGTGAAATGAGCTTTGTGTGGAATGATTCAAGAAGTGGTGAAAATCCCCAAATCCTCCTCTAATCCTCCTCAATGGGGCTGCCATTAAAACTGCATTCCTAGGTTAATAAAGCAGTTTTCGAAGGAGGGCACTGAGCTGAGATGTTCTCAGTCATCAGCTCTTGAGTGGGAAGTCAGTGAGGTCAAAGTGTGAAGTTGCCATTTCTTAGATTATGCAGATTTTGCCCACTTAATCTCTAATAAAATGAGGCACAGACCAAGGACTCTCACACTTACTGGGGGTGGGAAGAACAAAGAAACTCTCTTTGTGATAGGGGCTGATTACAGCAAATTGGAAATAGTCGGTGACAAAAACCCTATAGTAAAGGGACACAGTGATGGTGGATTTGCTTGGATAACGCTGAGAAAGCTCAGGACATAAAAAAGCATCCACAGATATCAGAAACTAGGCATTAGCTGAACCCTGAAAAAAACTTTGGCCATTGCATGGCTGAGCCTATTTCTGTAACAGAATGGGCATGCCAGGTATTTGACAAGACAGAACTAAGAAAAATGAGCAAGTTCTATTACCTGAAGGAGTAAATGTATTGTCTGAAACTTCCAGAGATTAGGACCTGGGCCCTAATATCAAAATGTACCAGATGGAGGCTTCAACCTGGGAAACACTGTAAAAGCCCAGTGGTCAGCACCAGGCACCACATTTTGGGTAGGATTACCAATGGTGGTGAGGATGGAAAAGGTGGGGATAGATGCTGAAACCGCTCAAAGTCTTATGCTTTAGGCTCAATCTCAGCCTTCAGATGGAGAGGAATCTGGACAACCAGCAGGAGCTATCAGGGAAGGACAGAAAACTACATCTGACAACAAGTAGCTGAGAGGAAGAGGGGCCTGAGTAAGCCTTGGCTAGGAGTTCTGAGCAAGCAAGGGACAGCAGGAAGATGCTGAGCTCTTAGAAAGCAGACAGGGCAACAAAGGCAGCCCTTAAGAAAGACAGTTTTGAATAGAAGATGAGAAGATGCTGGATATCATTGCTTTATTTGAATTTTGTCCTAGTATTTTGTCATTAACAGTGAGTGGTTTCTTGAAAAGCTGAAAGCTTTTCTTCTAAGATCAAGAACAAGGCAAAGATGTCCACTCTTATGACTTTTATTCAACATAGTATTATAAGTCTCAGCCAGAACAATTAGGTAAGACCAAAAAAAAA